AGGGGAGGTGGTGTGGGAGACCGCGGTGCTGCCGTCACTGTCGCCTGTATTTGCGGTGGCATTTGTACGAAGGGCGTTTTTATCTTTCGCGGATTCTTCGCCACTTTCCGCGGGGTGTTCATGCTGTTGATGTTGTTGGACTTGTGTTTCATCACTTTGCTGCTGCTTTTCATTTTCTTCTTCTTCTTCCTCTTCTTCCTCTTCTTTTTCCTGTGTGTGTTCAGTGCCGGATGTCGTCCCTGCCGGTCCTCCGGGTAGCGAGGAGTTGTTAGCCTCTGCTGCTGCAGCAGGCGTCTGATTTCCTGTTGAAGAGTCCCCTGTTGTGTTAGATGGATTAGTGCCTGAGGACCCCGCTTCACCATCACTGCTGCCAGCTGAAGGGTCAACACCAGTAGCATCAGCAGGGGCGGAAGGACCACCAGAAGGACCAGGAGCGGAAGGAGGAGCACCAGGAGCAGAAGAAGCAGGAGTACCACCAGAACCGTCTACTTCACCACCAGCAGAACCAGAACCAGAAGCCCCGGCAGCGCCAGCACCACCAGCAGCAGGTCCACCACCAGTAGAAGAACCAGCAGGTCCACCAGCACCACGAGAACCAGAACCAGAAGCAACAGAATCTCCACCACCAGGAACAACAGCACCAGAAGAAGCACCACCAGAAGGAGCAACAGAACCAGAAGCACCAGAAGAAGCAGCAGAACCTCCAGCACCACCATCACGACCAGGTCCACCGCCAGGTCCAGCAGATCCAGTAGAAGCACCAGCGTCGGAATTCTCACTTGAATTCGACCTGTTCTTTGTTTCAACAGAAGCGCCTTTTCCATCCGAGGCTTCGACGGCAGTAATGGGCAGCACTGACCGCAAAGGCACCGTAATCGCAGTTTTATTACATCCGTCAGGCATGTGGGATCCATTCTCACCCAACACTCCCAACGCCATGCAGCCACCCAGTGCGTTGGTGTCAACGTCCCTCGCATAAACACCGCCGGCACCGCACCACAGCACGCAGAGGGCACACACCAGCAGCACACGGCCAGTCATCGTCATCGCCATCACTCCTGTCACTTGCGTGCAGCCTTCAGCACAAACTAACAACACGTCAACGCAGAGTGAAAGCAACAAAAGACACGGCACAGTAAAATACAGCAGCAGCAGGAACACGCATTGCATGAGAAATATTAAACCAATGAAAGTGAAAAAAGACACAATGCGCTGCAAGTAAAGAAAAGCACACAAAACAAGGAAAAACAAAAGTAAGCAGGCAGCGATAAAGTAAAACAGTAAAAACACACAAAAAAGAGCTGCACAGTATGGCTCCAGCGCGCACGCCTCTATTCTCAACAGTGTGTCCACGCAAACAGTTGTGTGCATGTCGTGCGTATGCGTATGTTTGGGATGCGTTCAACGTGACGGATGTGGCGCACAGCACGGAGCACACAGCAGGGCAGCGGAAGCAAAGGAAGCAAAAACACAATCATCATAATTACTATTACCTTATACATCGGACCACAGTGGACACACACATGTCACCGTGGCTGAGTGCTGGCACGCACAGCCCGCATGCACCTCTTCAGCCCACAGCGGTGCACGCCAGCGCGGATGCGGCGAGCACCAGCGGGCACACACCCATGCAGAGCTGCTGAGGCTGCCGTCAATTTCGCGAAGACGTGACGGTGCGCGTGTGGTCTTCGTGGTTGGCGCCTCTGTATTCATCGCCGTGTTAAGTAGTGCCTCTGGCGCGGTGGTTGTTGTAGTATTCGTACTTGCAGTTGGTGCGTTTGTCGTAGTCGTCGTTTTTTGCACTGTGCAATCACAGCTTTTGAAATCGTTGCGGATTTATCCGCAGCACTTGTTTTCGCTGACTCAACAGACGCAACCGATGCATCTTGACTGTTGGCATTCTCATTGGCTTTCGGAACCGTTTTTTCTCCTACTTTGTTATTGTCTTGATCCGTTGGTGTAACGACCCCTGGACCTGGGCCCTCGTTTTTACCTTCTGCCTACCGTCCGTCCCACTTATTCCCGGTTGTGGATCGGAATTCTGAACGGATTGAGCTGGTTTATCGCTACCCTCTGTCACACACACGGACGGGCAGCAGCACAGGCCAATCACCAACAGGGCGCACAGCAGACGGCCCGTCATCATCGTGAGCGTGGTCGTTCAGTGGTGTGGAGCTGATCTGCGCAGTGAGGGACATGGAGAGCAACAGGGGAGACGAGAGGTGCGGCAGACACACACAGAGGGCACACCACATGAGGAGAGGGCAGCAGCCAGGCATGCACCGTACGCCGCACACCACGCACGACACACACTCCAATCCACGGCAGCAGGCACACACACACTCCAATCCATGGCAACACACAGATGGAAGAGGGAGAAGCAAACAGGAGCTGCACACAAGGCTCCACCGCACGCACATACGGCGAGAGCGGTCCGTCGTGTCGGCACCCCTCACGGAGGGTACGCACACACAAAAGAGAAGGTGCAGCGCACACAGCAACAAAAAAGCAAAGTAACAGTAAAAGGGGAACGATCCCCGCACACCACGTGGATTGTTTTTCCGCGGGAACTGCAGCCAATATTCATCACAAAGCAGCTTGTTATCTTGTTTTGGTTTTACGCTGCTACAGCAACGAGTGAGCAGCGCAAGGGCCGTCCGTAAAAAAATGGCAATTATTCCGTCTCATACGGGCCGTCGCGCGGGCTGAGGCAGTCACAAACAGTCGCAGTCCCTATTCCCAACGACGGGGCATTCCCGCAGTGGATGAGGCGGAGTCTCCCGTGGTCCGTCGGGGAATCAGCAGCCCATGGCGTCTGTGATACAGCAAAGGAGTGGCTGAAGGGCTGTGGTAGTCATTGAGTTCCCGCGGTTGTGCTTCCTGCATGTTTGGTCTGCTGGCGTGCTTGGCACTTTCGGTGGCGACCTGAGCGCGAGGCGCCTGTTAGGAGGACGGTGGCGCCATTGCGGAGTCCGCATGCGAGGCGTTCTTCGACCATCGGAACGCCAGGCTGAGCACGTCAGACATGTGCTCTCATATTGTGGACGGACGAGAAGACGCTGCTGCAGGTTGGGCAGGAGGACGTCAATCCGCCGATCGCTGATCGGAAAGGAGTCGCGGTTCTCACGCGAGGTGGAGGTTCCGGAGGCAGGAGCGGGCCGATCTCCTCGGTGTGGGAGGGAAGGCGCTACCGACATAAAGGGCTGCCTGTAATCTGCAGGGTGTGCGCCATTCTACCGAAGAGTGGGCAGGAGTCGCATCGCAGTTGTGCGCGGAGCTGCGGGTCGTGGCACAGCATTTGGCCGGACACAAGCAACGGAGTTTTCGCTATACCGACGAGCGCCTGTAGTGTGGTGCGCGCGCCTTCCTCTTCCTCCTGGACTTCCTTCCAGCATAACTTCTTGACGGCGGCAAGGAAGTCCACGTGCCAGGCATTGACGCAGTCCTGCGGGAGGGATCGTGCCATGACGGCGTCACCGTACGCTGTCACGCTGCGTGGGATTCCGCAGTGCGATGGGGAAATGTGGAGCCAACAGTGCGACCTCAATCCGCCAGCGAAAACGGCACGGTACAAATCTCCTCGCTGACGTCGTCGTGCACGGCCAGCGAGCCAAGGCGGAGTGCCTCAATCGCCGAGAGGGAGTTTGCGGCGACAGTAACCCGTGTGGGCGATTGGGATGCTGCTGCCAGGCGGGGAACTGGGAACTGTCCGAGGCCATGCTCAGTGGCAGGACACACCGCTCGGCAGGAGCATGCAAGTCTGCCAGCAGCTGCGCGGTGAGGCCCACAGGGAGCTCGGTCGTCCGGGGAGTCAAGTGGCAGCGCAGCGGATCCAAAGGCATACGCAGCGAGAGACAACGAGCCGTCCACCGCCAACACAGGTGCCAGCGAATAACAAGACGTTGAGCACGAATAGGACACGTATGGCCGCACTGCCGTGGGCACGGATGGCGGCCCCGATTCACTCAGCAACAATGATCTAGCGTCCTTAAATGGCACAACAGCCACACCTGAGCCCAGCACAGCCCTAGCAAATGCTGAACGAGTGATAAAGTGTCGGGTGGCGGTGATGCCGCACAGGATTATTTGCGCACAACGTCCGAGAAACCAGAGATCCCATCGGAGCACGACGCAGCATCACTTGTGAGCAACGGTTTTTGTGAGCACGAGCATTTCACGGATTTGTTGGCCATGGCTGAAATTCGTGACATCGCCGTGCATGGGTGTGTGTGTCTCGGGTGATGTTGCTTCTGATTCTGGTGCTGCCAGGCACTGCGGCGCTCTGCTGAGGTGTGAGGGAGGGCGGAATTGAGGCTTTTCGTGGAGCAATAACTGTGCAGCTTGCCAGCATTACCCACTGAGTTTTGTCAATAATTTAGGCTTTTTATTCTCTTTTATTTATTTATTTTTGCTGCCTTTGACCTATTGGAATAATTAGCATCCCTGTGTTTTCCCCCAATGGTTGCTTGCCGCACACTGTCATGAGTGACGTGCTTCTACCCCTTGTTTCCTTCCGTTGCGCACAAGCTGTGCCGGCCCTGCGGCTGTGCGTCCCGCGGACTGCACAAGAGGAGGATTGGGAGAAAAGGCCGGATGCCGCACGAAATGTGAGGAGTGTTGTGTGGGCTGGTGGAATAGTACAATCATTTTTTTTTGCCTTATTCGGTCCATGCATTACGTATACACAAACCAGTGGTCCTTTACATTTTGCTTTTTTTCAAACAAAATAAAAGTCGTGCCTGATCGATTTTTCTTTTTTTACTTTTTGGAGTTTCGCTGGACTCTCAAATCCGTTGTTGTGCTTTTTACTGCATTTTTAACTTCTGGTTTGCAAGGCGTTGTGTGAGTTCTGCAATTGTACTGATTCCAACTGCCTCGTGGTGCGTGCATTGCCATTTGTGACCGTGGCGTGGCTGTGTGACTTGTCTCCCCTTTTGCTTTCACTCTGCTTTGACGGGGAGTTAGTTTGTGCTGAAGGCTACACGCAAGTGACAGGAGTGATGGCGATGACGATGACTGGCCGTGTGCTGCTGGTGTGTGCCCTCTGCGTGCTGTGGTGCGGTGCCGGCGGTGTTTATGCGAGGGACGTTGACACCAACGCACTGGGTGGCTGCATGGCGTTGGGAGTGTTGGGTGAGAATGGATCCCACATGCCTGACGGATGTAATAAAACTGCGATTACGGTGCCCTTGCGGTCAGTGCTGCCCATTACTGCCGTCGAAGCCTCGGATGGAAAAGGCGCTTCTGTTGAAACAAAGAACAGGTCGAATTCAAGTGAGAATTCCGACGCTGGTGCTTCTACTGGATCTGCTGGACCTGGCGGTGGACCTGGTCGTGATGGTGGTGCTGGAGGTTCTGCTGCTTCTTCTGGTGCTTCTGGTTCTGTTGCTCCTTCTGGTGGTGCTTCTTCTGGTGCTGTTGTTCCTGGTGGTGGAGATTCTGGTGCTTCTGGTGCTGTTCCAGGGGCTCCTGGTGTTCCTGGTTCTGGTGGCGGCGGTGGAGGCAGTGGAACTTCTGCTGTCGGTCATGGAACCGGCAGCGTTTCTTCTGCTTCTGTTCCAGGGGCTCCTGGTGGTGGTTCTGTTGCTGGTGAAGTAGACGGTTCTGGTGGTACTCCTGCTTCTTCTGCTCCTGCTGCTCCTCCTTCCGCTCCTGGTCCTTCTGGTGGTCCTTCCGCCCCTGCTGATGCTACTGGTGTTGACCCTTCAGCTCGCAGCAGTGATGGTGAAGCGGGGTCCTCAGGCACTAATCCATCTAACACAACAGGGGACTCTTCAACAGGAAATCAGACGCCTGCTGCAGCAGCGGCTCACAACTCCTCGCCTCCCGAAGGACTGGCAGGGACGACATCCGGCACTGGACACACACGAAAAGAAGAAGAAGAGGAAGAGGAAGAAAATGAAAAGCAGCAGCAGAGTGGTGAAGCACAAGTCCAACAACAACGGCATGAACACCCCGCGGAAAGTGGCGAAGAATCCGCGAAAGATAAAAACGCCCTTCGTACAAATGCCACCGCAAATACAGGCGACAGTGACAGCAGCACCGCGGTCTCCCACGCCACCTCCCCTCTTTTGCCTCTTCTTCTTGTTGTTGCGTGTGCGGCTGCTGCGGTGGTGGCCGCGTGAGAGTGAGGGAGAGAGAGCCGTGCACCGCCCGCACACACACTCTTCCTTCTCTCTCTGTGTGTGCGTGTCCCCTTGCATGGACTCTCGCCCTCACCTCACCCCACGAGGCACACACAATAATGTGCCCATTGTATATATGCATGCACACCCATGCAGGCCCGTTGGTGCTCTCTTCTGCACGACACGCACCGCTGCCGTCCTGCCTGGCTGCATGGGCGGAGCACCGTAACTGTTTCTGTTTTGTTTTTATTGCATTGAGTGGGCGACCTCTCTCTCTCTCCCTCTGTGTGTGTGTTTTGCTTTACGGGAGCAATGAGAGTGTGTGTGCGCTGGTCGTCGCACGCTTTTTCCTTCTTGTTTTTGTTTTTTGTATTGTTTTACTTGTGTTGTGGTTGAGTGCATCCATTCCGCTTTTTTGATCGGCGGCTTGCTTTGACTGTGGACGCCTGAATTTTTCTTATTGTTTCCATACTGTTTTCATCCTGTTAAGGAAGTGTTAGCTACTCGTATCCTTCTAAAGCCGCCACGCTCTTTCTTCTACATACGTCATGCGTCAGTTGGTCCATGGCACCCCACAGTTGACTGCAGCGCTGCTGGTGCTGCTTGCGATGATGCCTGCGGTGTGATTGCTAGCGGATGTCTCGTTGTCACTCTGACGTATACTTGCGTCATTGCTTGTGTGGGGCGTCCGACGGCGCGTGGGCGTCTCTGGTGATAGTGAGGCACGTGCCTCCCAAACCGTATGATGCGTCGCAGGTGTACAGCGCCGTTCGTAATATCCGGTGGTTGCCTGTTCCCGTGAAGGTGTCCACAACGGTCCCGGATGACAGCGGGAGGCACTGCGGCTTCACTTGGTGTTGCACAGCGACTTTATTTGACGGGGTGTTTGATTTGCGTCTCTTGGGGCTTTAGTTGGAGAATGCGGGAAGTTGAGGGCATTAGGACTGAATTCATTTGAGTGGCTGCGTTCCGTTGACTTTCGGCCAGTCGTGGCACTCTTTTGGGGTTTGGCGGCTCGTCTCTTTTGTTTACTTCCCACTGCAGCACGTGGGCAACACTGATCCGAAGAACATTTGTTTGACTGCGTGTGAGCTGCTGCCGTGCGTGGTGCTTGGACTATTTGATTGTGTGGGAAGGTGCATGGAGTGACGAATACTTCTGTTTGGCGTGTCGCGGTGTGTCGGAATGATGTTCGGATGACATGTGAGGGGTGTCGCTTGTAATTTGTGTGTCCTCTCTGGTGGAGCCGACATGTGTGTGGGGATTGTGGCGTTGCTGGCTGGCAGCTCCACGTCACTTTTCAGCATTCCTGGATGTGCTGAGGAATGACGGCTGGCGACCAGCGTGTTGGTGCTGCTGGCGGGAATAAGTGCATCGGGAATGGGCCATTTTCTATTTCCGTGCTGGAGCCGATGAACTGGCACGAGGGCACCGGCTGCAGACTGCCTGCCAGCGCGTGTGAGCAGCGGATCCATGCACACACCGACGCTCATCGCAAGAGCGTGCGCGATCACAGTGGCATTTGTGGCGTGCATTTGTGGACGTCAGCCCATCGAAGAATGTGTGAAGCAAACGGCTGACTGCACACGAGGAAAATAAGTGCGTGCACTGTGCCGTGTTTCAGCGTCGATGACAGAGCGACAGGAAGCCCGTGCTGGCAACCGGGATCTTTGCGTCGCGAGGGATGTCTGTGTTGATTTTGGATCGTCGAGGGTAAAGTGATTTTGCTGCTGCCCGTGTGTGTGGCCACTCCGGCGGAGGGCGGACACAAAAGGGAGGGATGCAGGCGCTGCGTGTGTGTGCAGGTGCCATGCAACAACGTCACAACAAAAATGCTGCGACTCGGTGACCCTCACATCGTTGTGGTCCTCACGAACAGCCGAGGCACGGCCCACATCGATGCACTTAGTGGACGGAGTGGGGCATCTTTTGAGGCGCTGCAGGGAGCAGGATGTGTTGATGCAGCCACGACGTGCATGGAGCGTCACGATAGCACAGTCAGCTGTGGCTGGTGGAATATTTACTTCTCGGAGGCAACAGAGAGAGAGAGAGCTGCTCCTGCTGTTGGCGTCGTTGCTGCCTTTTGTGGCCTCCCATGCCGATTATTGTCTGTCCGCTGATCATGGGTGGCATGCCTCCACTAGTGACGTCGTCTGCAGGCATTTCACAGCACCAGGGAAGCGCACATCACGACGCATGCGTTGGCTGTGGATGTGGTGTCGTGAATGCATCCGGCATTATTTTGCCCGACTCCCTTTCACTGCCTTGCGACAAATAGATGCGTCGCCGCCCGAGTCATTCACTGCAGCTCCGTGTGTTGTACTGCCAGCACAAGACTCTCGTGTTGTGTGACGCCTGGCTGACAGTCAAACACCACTGCGTTGGGACATGCAAGGATGTGGACTGCCGCTCACGGTGTTGGGCACCGCTTTTTGGATGCGGCGGCCACACGAGCGGATGTATTGTGGCACAATCAAATGCGTGAAATACGCGGAATCACAGCGGCTGCAGTAATATCAGCGGTGTGGCACCACGGAATGTGTGAAAGGGTGATGCATGATGAATCACGGTGGGCGGCATGCGAGGGAAGTGCACCGCGACGGAGCGTCGCCCCGCCCTCAGCCTGCAGGGGAATGTGCACCCAGAGGAATATGTGGTCGAGGCACCACCAAACACACATGCCCTTCCGTGCAGCAATAAATAGGAGCGAAGGTGCGTTCTGGTGTGTGGGAGTCCACTCACATATTTTCATTTCCACCGCAGTAAACGGTGAGGAATCAGGTGCCACAGCAACGAAAGGAAAAACAAACATCTATTGCAGCACTTTACCGGCGAGAAGCAGGAAGAACACAAATTGAATTGTTGGCTGTGCTTCCCGTGGACCAACAATCCACGTGGTGTGCGGGGATCATTCCCTTTTTACTGTTACTTTGCTTTTGTGTTGCTGTGTGCGCTGCATCTATTCCTCTTGTGTGTGTGCATACCCTCCGTGAGGGGTGCCGACGCGACGGACCGCTCTCGCCGTATGTGCATGCGATGGAGGCTTGTGTGCCGCTCCTGTTTGCTTCTCCCTCTTCCATCTGTGTGTTGCCATGGATTGGAGTGTGTGTGTGCCTGCTGCCGTGGATTGGAGTGTGTGTCGTGCGTGGTGTGCGGCGTACGGTGCATGCCTGGCTGCTGCCCTCTCCTCATGTGGTGTGCCCTCTGTGTGTGTCTGCCGCACCTCTCGTCTCCCCTGTTGCTCTCCATGTCCCTCACTGCGCAGATCAGCTCCACACCACTGAACGACCACGCTCACGATGATGACGGGCCGTCTGCTGTGCGCCCTGTTGGTGATTGGCCTGTGCTGCTGCCCGTCCGTGTGTGTGACAGAGGGTAGCGATAAACCAGCTCAATCCGTTCAGAATTCCGATCCACAACCGGGAATAAGTGGGACGGACGGTAGGCAGAAGGTAAAAACGAGGGCCCAGGTCCAGGGGTCGTTACACCAACGGATCAAGACAATAACAAAGTAGGAGAAAAAACGGTTCCGAAAGCCAATGAGAATGCCAACAGTCAAGATGCATCGGTTGCGTCTGTTGAGTCAGCGAAAACAAGTGCTGCGGATAAATCCGCAACGATTTCAAAAGCTGTGATTGCACAGTGCAAAAAACGACGACTACGACAAACGCACCAACTGCAAGTACGAATACTACAACAACCACCGCGCCAGAGGCACTACTTAACACGGCGATGAATACAGAGGCGCCAACCACGAAGACCACACGCGCACCGTCACGTCTTCGCGAAATTGACGGCAGCCTCAGCAGCTCTGCGTGGGTGTGTGCCCGCTGGTGCTCGCCGCATCCGCGCTGGCGTGCACCGCTGTGGGCTGAAGAGGTGCATACGGGCTGTGCGTGCCAGCACTCAGCCACGGTGACATGTGTGTGTCCACTGTGGTCCGATGTATAAGGTAATAGTAATTATGATGATTGTGTTTTTGCTTCCTTTGCTTCCGCTGCCCTGCTGTGTGCTCCGTGCTGTGCGCCACATCCGTCACGTTGAACGCATCCCAAACATACGCATACGCACGACATGCACACAACTGTTTGCGTGGACCCACTGTTGAGGATAGAGGCGTGCGCGCTGGAGCCATACTGTGCAGCTCTTTTTTTGTGTGTTTTTACTGTTTTACTTTATTGCTGCCTGCTTACTTTTGTTTTTCCTTGTTTTGTGTGCTTTTCTTTACGTGCAGCGCATTGTGTCTTTTTTCACTTTCATTGGTTCAATATTTCTCATGAAATGCGTGCTCCTGCTGCTGCTGTATTTTACTGTGCCGTGTCTTTTGTTGCTTTCACTCTGCGCTGACGGGGAGTTATTTTGTGCTGAAGGCTGCACGCAAGTGACAGGAGTGATGGCGATGATGATGGCTGGCCGTGTGCTGCTGGTGTGTGCCCTCTGCGTGCTGTGGTGCGTTGCCGGCGGTGTTTATGCGAGGGATTTTGACACCAACGCACTGGGTGGCTGCATGGCGTCGGGAGTGTTGGGTGAGAATGGATCCCACATGCCTGACGGATGTAATAAAACTGCGATTACGGTGCCTTTGCGGTCAGTACTGCCCATTGCTGCCGTCGAAGCCTCGGATGAAGAAGGTTCTGTTGAAACAAAGAACAATTCGCATTCAAGTGAGACTTCCGACGTTGGTGCTTCTCCTGGTGGTGCTGGCGCTGCCGGGGCTCCTGCTGCTGCTGGTGGAACTTCAGCTGGAGGCGACAGTTCTGGCTCTGCTGGTGCTGTTCCAGGGGCCCCTGGTGGTACAGGGGCTTCTGGTGTTCCTGGTTCTGGTGGCGGCGGTGGAGGCAGTGGAACTTCTGCTGGCGGTCAAGGCAACAGTGGCATCTCTCCTGCTTCTTCTGGTCCTGCTGCTCCTACTGGTGTTAATTCTTCAACTGGCCGAAGTGGTGAAGCAGGGTCCTCAGGCAGTAATTCATCTAACACAACAGGAGAATCTCAAACAGGAGATCAGACGCCTGCTCCAGCAGCGGCTCACAACTCCTCGCTACCCGAAGGACCGGCAGGAACGACATCCGGCACTGGACACACACGACAAGAAGAAGAAGAAAGTGAAAAGCAGCAGCAAAGTGATGAAGTACAAGTCCAACAACACCAACAGCATGAACACCCCGCGGAAAATGGCGAAGAATCCGCGAAAGATAAAAACGCCCTTCGTACAAATGCCACCGCAAATACAGGCGACAGTGACGGCAGCACCGCGGTCTCCCACACCACCTCCCCTCTTTTGCTTCTTCTTGTTGTTGCGTATGCGGCTGCTGCTGCGGTGGTGGCCGCGTGAGAGTGAGGGAGAGAGAGCCGTGCACCGCCCGCACACACACTCGTCCTTCTCTCTCTGTGTGTGTGTGTCCCCTTGCATGGACTCTCGCCCTCACCTCACCCCACGAGGCACACACAATAATGTGCCCATTGTATATATGCATGCACACCCATGCAGGCCCGTTGGTGCTCTCTTTTGCACGACACGCACCGCTGCCGTCCTGCCTGGCTGCATGGGCGGAGCACCGTAACTGTTTCTGTTTTGTTTTTATTGCATTGAGTGGGCGACCTCTCTCTCTCTCTCCCTCTGTGTGTGTGTTTTGCTTTACGGGAGTAATGAGAGTGTGTGTGCGCTGGTCGTCCCACGCTTCGGCTTCTTGTTTTTGTTTTCCTTTTTGATTTTGTGGTTGAGTGCACCCATTCCGCGGCTGCGTGTGTGTGTGTGTGTGATGATATGAGTAATTTGCATGTGTGCTATCTGCCTCTCTCTGCCGTTGCTTTCTTTGGACTCCCTTGTGGCGCAGGGATGCTCTGCAATTATAGGTGGTAGCAAAAACCCAAACGCCATGTCGCTCACGCTGTGGAGTGGTGTAAACGCTGGGAATGCATGCACGCACAAGCTTCTGGCTGCTGCGACCCTCGCCAACGTTGCGGTGACGCCGAAGACGTGCGAGTACGGCCGCGAGAACGAGACGGCGGAATGCTGCCGCAACTGCAGCCCGTGCGGCCGCTACCCCGTGCTGCAGACGGAGGAGGGCTGTGTGTTCGAGACCAACGCCATCCTGCGCCACATCGCGTGCCTTGACCGGAGCGGCGGCTTCCTGTACGGCCGCACGCCGCTGGAGGGCAGCCAGGTGGACATGCGGCTCGACTTTTCGGCAACGGAGCTGGACGCTGCCCCCGCACCGTTTGTGCAGCACGCCTTCCGTGGCGGGCAGCGGCTCGCCAACCCGATGGACCGCGTGCACGAGGTGCTGCGTGCGCTGGAGGCGTGGCTGGAGACGCGCACATTCCTCGTGGACGAGCGCGTGGCGGTTGCGTTTGCGCCGCAATGGCACTATCGTCTGAGCGGTGCGGAGGGAGAGGCACTGACGAGGAAGTACCGGAACGCGTACCGCCTGTACAACACGGTGGTGCAGCAGCCGAAGACGGTGGAGGTGTTGCCGCCGAGCCGTTTGTGCTGGACGCGTTGAAGCGCGAGTACAGCAACACGCGAGAGCATATAAATGTGCGTGTGTGGGCGGTGTGTGTGCTGTTGGTCCTTTCGGAGACGTCAAATTTCACAGTAGCAATTCGCTCTTGGTGTTAAATTCTTTTCTTTGTGTGATTGAGAGAGAAATGAAAAAAAAACATGCCGACAGAAGGGGTGAAACAGTGAGCACCGCCAATCAACCAGAGTGAATGGCACCATCATCCTCACCGCAGGCACTCCAAACATCAACAACTCACGCGCACAGGCACACGGAATAAAGAAAATGGACTGCGCCGGAAGCAAAGCAACTGCCATCAAAAGCAGAAGCCACTGCGGGTGCTTCTGCATCGCGTCAGCACACACCGAGCAACGTCCACAAAAAAAAACCGGCAGAATGCAAAACGGCACAGCCGCCCCCCGCAGCAATAAAGCGCTGCCCCCAGCCGTTTGAATTCTTTTCCCTCCAACGCACCCGCTCGACCGCCGGCGCACAACACCCCGCACAGCCGGAGAATCCCCTGTCGGTCAATCCACGGCGGGAGAGACACATCGGCACGTGCAGCTGCTTGGCGGGAAGCAAAACACACTTATCCCAGGCACCCAAAGGCTCACCGCTCACTGGCTGCACGCCACCAACATCGCAGCCGCAACACGGCCAGGGGACGAATCGCGGGTTACTGTCCTCCATCCTCGCAAGGCACCGCGGCCTGGAAGCACGTCCGAAAGGCCAAACACAAGCCGCATGGAGCTGCGTCTTCGATGCGCCGTGTGAGCCACACCACGGTGGCCGTTGCCTTTCCGCGAAGAACACAGACGACAGTTAAGAGAACGAAATAAAATCGGAGCCGCAGAGGGCACACACCAGCAGCACACGGCCGGTCATCGTCATCGCCATCACTCCTGTCACTTGCGTGTAGCCTTCAGCACAAACTAACAACACGTCAACAGAGAGTGAAAGCAACAAAAGGAGAGACGAGTCATTCAACCACGCACCGTCCCATCCAGCAATGAGAGTCACACACCACCACCACAACATTTGGATGGGCGCGGCTCAACAACAATCAAAAACAAAACAAAAGAGGGGCGCTCCTCGCCCGTGCACCGTTCCTCACACTCCCACAGTCACCACTACTGTTATTCCCTCTCTCCTCAGTCCCTCACAGGCACGCCACGCTCACTCCAACACGCGCCCCTCACAGCACGGGCAGTCCGTCATGCGTTCCCGCTGCGCCGCAACGTCGTGCCGCCCCTCCTCCCCAATCATGAGCGCAACGCCCAACGCGTACTGGCGCACGTGCTCCATGCGCCGCAACCACACACCAGTCAGGTTGGCCGTCATGCACTGCATCTTGTTGTCCTCCTTGTACATGAAGCAGACCCTCACATTCTCTCAATCCACGGCCTGGGGACTGCGAGAGGCGGCCGAGTAGTGCCACGTGTCTGAAGATCCAAATGTACGGAAACAACGGCCACCCTCGCTCCCTCACAAATCTCCACTCCCTTCACTGTCCCGCACACAAGGGCGGTGTCATGGAGAGGAGAAGCCCGCTGCACAACGAAGGCAGCAAAAAGCAGCGCCATCCACGTCGCACCGCAAGTAACAGCTATGCGCACAGCACAGACACGGCGGCAAAGAGAGGGACGGGCACATACAAGTAAACACCGCAGTCCTTCACTTCTCTTTTCAACGGCGGATTGGCATTGCGTCCCACACGCACAAATGAGGCACGGCCCACACAGTCCGCTCCCTCCGAGTGTACTCAGCAGGCCGCCGCCCAGTCACCCTCGTGCCATCGCAAAGGGGAACACAAACAATCGTCGTAGCGGAACATCGATGCCTCCAGCAGGAAAAAAGAGAAAGAAAAGGGACGAGGGCATGTCAACAGCACAGTCAGCAGAGGAACAGTCAACGGGACACGGAGACACACAGTGACAGCGGATACGGCAACTACAGAAACAAGCCGCAGGGATTTTAAAAAAGAAAAGGGTGGGAGTCCGGGATAACTCCAAAAAATAAAAGGAAAAATTGATGCGGCAGGACTTTTATTTCATGTGCCATGCAGCACGAAACGACCGTGTGTATATACATATTGCCCGCACCAGGAAAAGAAAAAGAAAAATTAAAATAAATAAAAGAGATTGCACTGTTCCACCAGCCCACACAACATCCCTCACATTTCATGCGGCATCCGGCCTGTTCGTCCTAACCTCGTTTCGTGCCGTCCGTGGAACGCGCAGCCGCAGGGCCGGCACCGCGTGTGGGCAAAAACAAAAGCAAACAAGAGCGGGAAACACGTCGCTCATTACAGTGTGCAGCAGCCGAACATTACGCAAAGAAACAACAGTACTTACTGCTCCAGCTGAACTGCATTAAAAAGACATTTAAAAGTAAAAACATTAAAGAAATAAAAGATAAGTGAAAAAGGTTGGGCAATGCGGCACGTATTCTCCGTGAGGCGTCGCAGATCCGCACTCCGTGGCTCAGAAAGCTGCCACCACCCAAATACAACCCCAGTAGAAGCAGCAATACACACGACACGCACACACGCACGGTGTTGTTAGCGCCTAAATCACGCAGTGTCAATTCCACGTCGTTGGGAGAGGCGAGGCGGTCGTCGGGACTCACGCCGCTCCACACCCTGCGAGGTGACTATTTGTAATGGGAATTCGTGTCCAGGGCGTGGTGCTCATTCATTTATCTTCGGTAATATTCCCAGCAATGTGCTCCCTGACGCTGTCAAATACTCGAATCTTCTCGGGTGGTGTCGGAGCCGCTTCACTCGTCGGAGCGGGGGACGCTGTCCTTGGGTGCACGCATCGCAGTGGAGTTCAGTGGGCGGCTGTACAGAAAGACGTCATTCACCGTCACATGGGATTAATGCCCACAGCACGTGCCAAAGCAAAACCTCAGGACCTCAGGTGGCTTCTGACCTGTTAACAGTACCTCTTCCTATTCCGCCAGCAACTGACCACCAATGTGCACAGAGGCCTTGTTGCCTTGCAGCATAAGTACCGCCTGGTACTCTTTCTTCGGCTCCTAACTGCCGTTCTGTGTTGTTGTCCTGCCTTTGAGCCCCGTCTCCCGCTTCTTATTGTGGCCGCACGACAGTCCCATGGTACGATTGGACGCAGTGTTCGCCAGCACCGCAGTCAGTGGAGGAGTGTTCCCACTCGGGGCCTCTTCGATGGTCACCGACGCCACAAGTGTGAAGTGGCGGCTCAAGAATACATGACGCACGTTATCATCCTGAGTGTTCACGAGCCATATTGTCCTGGACTCAAGTCCCGTGAATCGGAACCCATCGTTGTCCTTCACTGCATTCGTCACCGTCGCATGCAGGCAACGGTACTCGTCGTTCCGCGTGACATCACTGGCCGCATCGGACAAAACTGCCACCAGACCCGCCGTGGGTATTGACACGCTGGAGAAGAAGGCGTCCTTTTGCACCCCAGCACTGAGGACAGACTTGATTGCACTCACTTACTCCGTCAGGCGGGAAAGTGAAATGGCACGGCCCTCACCGTTGCCCCTCCGTTGTAAAAGATGCAAATCCCCGTCCGAGTGCAGCAGGTTGCTGGTGAACAACCAATTCATACCATCCCTCATGGCAACCGGCCCAACACAAAACGAGCGGTTTTTGTCCGTTACCCAAAGATAGAGCGCTCTTTCCGTTTTATTCCCCGAGGCGTTCCCTCTCTGAGTGCACAGCATGACCTTCCTGCCCTCAATGGTCGCGGTGATGGGGGCATCCACACGCAGGCTTTCTTTCTGAGAGGCTCCCGATCCTGAGTTGACACACACGCCTGAAAGCTTCTCGATGGCCTCCGTCCACGCTGTCCCCATGTCACGCGACTCGTACACCCTCCGGCCATTCTCGCAGTCAACAATCATGGGAAGTGATCCCTCCCACTCGCTGACGCGGGGTTAAGGCATTTCGCAGGGGACATGCCCTCAGTGAGCGCCCAGTTACTGCCGTTGTCCGTCGAGTAAATGGTCATGGAGCAAACGTATTCTGCCTCATTCCTCGCCATCAGAGGAAACAGGAAGGTGCCATCCTCCATCACAACACCTGAGCCACCGGAAGCAATGAACTCCGTCCGTTCACCTTCGTGAGAAGCAGAAGAGATCAGCTTCGAGAGTGTTTGGGGCCGCCCCATTCGATCCGTCCACTCTGCTTGCCACCCGTGGGATTCGTGACATCGCCCGCAAACAGTTGCAGCTCCAGGCCGCCCTCTCTCCAACACCCACCTTCGTAGGACACATCCGAGCCTCCCGCAAGAAGAAACACTCCGTGGCCCTTCGTGACTGTTGTGGAGTGGTGCACAACACCCAGACCCTCCTTTCCCTCCGCTGCACCAAGCACAGTGTGTGCCCTCCATGTATCTTTTATTGGCCTCACCAACAAGAGTGGAACAATTCCACGCAGAGTCAATGCACCCCGCAACAACATCGGAAGAAAAGGGCTTAGTTAATTGGCCACCTTGATATTCGGCATCCATGTGACCCTCGGCAAAAGCAGTCACCACTCCACCAGCACTGACGAGAAAGGGTGAAGCAAATGAATCCCTCGTCGTAACTGGAACAACCTCATCCCTCGGCTGCAACACCTTCGTCTGTGAAAAAAATAAATCGACCCACTCCGGCAACTCAACGTTTATTGAACCACTCATCGCATCATCAATGGGATTCCCCTGCGGCTCGGTGACAGGCGTGGGCCTTCTTTCGGGTGGTATAGGAGCAGCACCGCGGAAGTAAACACACGCCGGGACATGGTGGGCCTCTGCGGCTCACTCTCTTCTCCTTCCCTCCTCCTGCCCCTGGATCCGGTCACACAGCGACGGTTGTGTGTGCGGGGTGCCTTGACTGCAGCAACACGTGAGAGCATGTAAATATGTGTGTGTGGACTGTGTTTGTGCTGTTGTTGATCCTTTCAGAGCCTTCGAACTTCACAGTGGCGTTTAGCGTTTGCTTGCTTTCCTTCCTAGCGTGTCTGTTTTCAACAATTGAAAGAAGAAAAAAGCGGCAATACATCACACACGTCCGTGGGGAGCAGAGCAGAGCACCCATGCGGAGAGCGGGACACAAGAGAATCCGGAAGGAACAGCGCGGAGCACCATCGCCTACACACCAGTCCTCACACACAAACACACGCACACAAATCGCAGTGCTGCCAGACCGCGCGTGGGAGGATTTGGTCCTCCACACAAAAAACGCGCGCACCGCCCGCATTCACCCACAATGGGCGAGGAAAAGGGACACACCGCCACCGCCTCCAGTTCAATCCCACGGCCAACAGGATACGACCACAGCCCGCTGCCGACACACAAAGCACAGCGAGCGAACAATCACCCAAAGAGCAACACGTGCAGAAGCGGATCCGCATCCATCCATGACGCGGTGCCCCACTCCATGCGGTCACACGGAGTGCACCCTTTCCTCAATAGAACTTACTCGTCGTCCATCCCTTAAATATGCTTCTGTTATTGGTGGGTCTTGGAACACGATAGAATAAAATGGAAAATGCAGTAACACCATAACACCGCCAGCCACAATGATTTTCTCATACCGGGGCAATTCCACGATTATGCCTCTTATAAACACACACACAATAAACACAATATATAAAAACCACCCAATGTTCCTTACCAGAAAACAAACAACCCCACTCCCTCCCTAATTTCTTCGGCCACTGTTATGTTCAATAGCGTTGGACATTTTTGGAATCTGTGTGATATACTACCGCCTGGTGCGGGTGCACCCGCACCGTAGCCACACAAGTATCCAAAAATAAATCCCACAATATTTTTTTTTACCAGAAATCAAAAACCACCCCCTTCATTCCCTAATTCGTTCTCCTATTTCAGCGGTTATTCCTCACCTCAGAGAGCTTCGCCTCTTCTGGCGTCAGCGGATGATACCGCTGCTAGGTACTGGCGCACCTTTTCCTCCCAGAACGCCGCAATCCCTCGGTTTTCATCGTCGCTCAAATTATTGGAATTGACGACATCACATCTCTGCCAGCCATTCATCGGCGTGCTGTCTGCTTGCTGCACATAAATAATCTCCCACGACATGTCTTGGGATAACCCTTCCCAACCATTAAAATATGCCGCCAGACACTCAGTGAACTGCCTCACAGTGCTGGCGGTGGTGTGGTGCTCACCCGCCGTAGTCATCCGCAGCCCAACCAGCGTCATTGGATTTGAGTCCACAAAGAAAAAGCCGTCCACCAGCGGAAAGTTTTGGACTTTCGGTTCATACAGCACCCAGTGGTCCATAGCAACCGGATTGGAAAGACGTTCCGGTGGCGGTAGAACCTCTTTTCTGGCGAAGCTTTTGTACGAATACTTTACCAACGCACAGCTGTGTGGCTCACGTCGTCCTGGTGGCCTCATTTCCTCAATTTTAAGTCTTATCGCACGCAGGAAATCCTCATTCAAAAATGCGGATACGGCATACTTTTCAATAAGATATGGTGGGACATAATCCCAGAACATCAATAAAAGAAAAATAAAATCGGACTGCTCCATTTCATTTTCCAACCTGGACAAAGTTTCACGTTCGAGATGGGGAGATATCAGTACAGTCAAAGGCAATTCAAAATTGTATCCTCGTCGTACTCGGACAACCTTCACAAGCTTTTGGGACAAGTCGCTGTCATTAGACGAGCAACAATATCCAATATCCAAGTAATTTCTTGATTTCGAAGCGTTCATCCCATCCACGGCCTGCTGACACGCTTTAATGCGGTCATCATATGCCTGTTTATCAAAGATGAAGCGGAGAATTGGTCCCACGTTATTCATGCGGCCCCTCACCTCCTCCCAGTACTCCGCTTGCTCCTGCGGAATCTGATTGCGCTTCATCCAAGCGCACATTGCCCTCACATCGTTTTCTTCGGGACAATTAATTACGAATTCTTCCGCTCTCATTTGCTTCGCCCACCATTCGTAGTCGTTTCTGTTCGGTGATGTCACCACAATCATGCCCCATCCTTTGCAAGGCAAACCAGTAGACGGTTGATGACCCTTCAATGCCACGTCGTAGATAATATACCCCTTCACCCCACGCCGAGACAAGCCGTCCACAATACGAAGGATACTGCCCTCACCCATGTACACTGACACCGTTTTCGCGATTTTGTCAAACAGAAATGTTCGATTCCCAATAAAGTACGCAACCATTGGGAGCTGCTCCGCATCGTGGTGCAGCAGCTGGTAGAGGAGGTACGAACCGGCATTCATCGACTTCCCCATCCCGGGCGTCCCAATAAACACACTCCGGTCAGTCGTAAAGTAGGTCCCACTGTGAGTGCCAAAAAACTCGGTTAAATCCCTTTTGACGATATTCCACACTCGCTCCACCTCACAGTTCACATAGCAGTCACGAATGGAGTCCTCCTCCTTCCACGAGTACGGCCATCCCTTGTCCGAGGTGAGCACCATCAGCCTGAGACGCAGTGCATCGGGTTCCTCCGCACCGACATTCCTTTCGAGGGTGTAGCCAACTTTCTTGTACGTCCATGACTGTTCTGGCTTCCCCTCCTTCACCTCCATCCCCATCCCCTCGCCGTCAGGAACTTCCACGACATGATGCCACCTCGAATTGTACACAGACTCGTAGCATCCCTCCAGTTTCATCGGTGCGCTCTTCGTCATTGGGCTCATCGATTCAATGACGGCCGCATCCAAAAACTGTTTAGTGATGCGTTCAACACTTTCTTTTACGTCCGCAGCAGCTTCTGACCACTCAAATAGTTTGCGTACACCATTCTCGTGAAGCTTGCGTATATCCTCATCAAAAATCATTTCATTCCATACGGCAATATCCATCCTCGCATAATAAAATGATGCCTGTATTGCGCCCAATACTCCCGCATCATAGATATACTTCGAGGGTTCCTTGAAAAACTCCTTCAACAAGACATTCCGATTGGCGCGCAAAATGCCCCAGCCGTACAATTCCAACGCAAGAAAATCATTCAGCTTTATTTCCATGAAACAGGGACTACCTTTAAAGAGTACATCTTCGATATTAGTGGAAATAGTAAATTCTAGTTCTCGTTGCTGCCATGCTCTTCCTTTTGCCTCAAGCATTTTTTCTTTCAGTACCTGGGTGAGAACTTCGTCTAGTTTTTCCCTTGCAAGAAGAGTGACCGTATCCTTTCTTCCAAAGTCCCTCCATTCTTCAAGAATGAACACGCCTTCTCCTTCAAGCTTAGTAGTAGCCTCCAATAGTACTCTCCTCCCTTCTAGCACTTGGTACTCTGTTAAATTATGGATCTCATCAAAAAGCTGCTGGTCTTGTACGTAATCATCCGGCTCCTGGACAAACACCTCCATCGTAACATTGTGGTCTTCATCAACGGCCGCCCCGCCGCCAACATAATTCCGAAGAAAATCATTGAGCTTCATGTTGGCCATTCCAGTGCTTCCCTCCAGCAGGATGTCCCTTACGGTGCTGCTCATGGTCCACTCTGGTCGCCGCGCCTTCTTTGCTCTTCTGCGGGTCGCAGCGGGTTGACCTGTGACACCCTCCGACTCCGGCCTCGCTCTCCTCTGACCATCTCCCTGCGGCACAGCAGACGCTTGAGTCTCCACATTGCCACCTTGCACTCTATTGCGCCCACCAGACATTGTCTCCTTGTTTTCTTGGTTGGATTGAGTTAAAGCTGAAAACTGACAACCAATGAAAAGGGAGAGAAATAAGAATGAAGGAAATTGCTCACAGAAATTACTGGCACCCACAACAAGGAAAACATCCAAAAAATGTGCGATGCACAGCACAAACACGAGGACCACCACAAAGAAGGCCCGTGGATACCATTCGCCCAGCACAGTGTTGGTGAGAGCTAACAACAACGTGGTGCGCACGGAGGGTTCGCCCACACATTCCGATCGCCACGGCCTCACACACCCATCAAAAAGAAAAGAAAAACACGGCGGCAGGGTGTGGCTGTGTGTGTGGCGCTGCGGGTGTCTGCCATCCCTGGCCGCAAACAAAACAAAACAAGAGGGAACAAATGTGTGCTCCGCCCCACAGGCCCTCGTCGCACGCCCACACGTCACGGCTCCCTCAGCGCGCCACAAGAGAGTCTGAAGAAAGCAACGGCAGAGAGAGGCAGATAGCACACACGCAAATTACTCATATCATCACACACACACACACGCAGCCGCGGAATGGGTGCACTCAACCACAAAATCAAAAAGGAAAACAAAACAAAAAGCCGAAGCGTGGGACGACCAGCGCACACACACTCTCATTACTCCCGTAAAGCAAAACACACACACAGGGAGAGAGAGAGAGGTCGCCCACTCAATGCAATGGAAACAAAACAGAAACAGTTACGGTGCTCCGCCCATGCAGCCAGGCAGGACGGCAGCGGTGCGTGTCGTGCAAAAGAGAGCACCAACGGGCCTGCATGGGTGTGCATGCATATATACAATGGGCACATTATTGTGTGTGCTTCGTGGGGTGAGGTGAGGGCGAGAGTCCATGCAAGGGGAGACACACAGAGAGAGAGAAGGACGAGTGTGTGTGCGGGCGGTGCACGGCTCTCTCTCCCTCACTCTCACGCGGCCACCACCGCAGCAGCAGCCGCACACGCAACACCAAGAAGAAGAAGCAAAAGAGGGGAGGTGGTGTGGGAGACCGCGCTGCTGCCGTCACTGTCGCCAGCTTTCGCCGTTGTAGTTTTCATGGCTGTGACATCAACTGGTGTTTCCTTCGGATTGGCTTCTTTATTTTCATTTCGTTTTCCCTCTCGTGTCTCTGCACCATCAGCTGCTGGATCATTGTTCGGGATGCCGTCTTCAGTGGTCTTGTCAGCTTCATGATTGGCGGCATCACCGTTTGCCGTGGGTGATGGTGGCCTTGATCCTGCATGGTCGGCAGATGGTTCATTGTGCTGATTGGCTGTGATTGTAGCAACGCTCGTTGATTGTGAATTCTCGTTTGGGCCCATTTCACTTTGGGGTTTTTGTAGCTGTTGCTTAGCCACGGTATCTCCAGGGCTGGAATGTTCATCCACTTGTGTTGTTGGTAGTGTGGGTGGTGTTGGTAGTTGTGCTTCTTTCTGTTTCGCTTGACTGTCATGTGTCTCCGTGAGTGCCATATTACTTTTGTCTTTTTCTGGTTCTTCTGGTTCTGATATTTCTTGTACTTCCGCTTCACCCGCATCTTCTTCATTTAGGTGGATGTTGGAGGATCCATTTCTCTCGGAAGTATCCTCCAAAGCGGGTTCTTCACTATCCTCAGTTCCAGGACCGCCAGTTGTTGAAGATTGATCGGTTCTTAGTTTCTGGGATTCAGATAAACTTCCATTCCTCTCTTCTGCCTCTTTTCTTACATTTGGATCCAACACCCCCGATTCCCTCTCCTGCCCTCCTGGACCTGATTCTCCGGGCTTCGGCGGTGCTGGTTGACCTGCGAAACCATCTCCGTCTGGAACAGACGCTCCACTGCGCGATGTCTTATCCTTCGATGAGTTCTCCGTATCCTGCGATTTTTCAACTTGTTCCGGAACAACACTCAATTCTGGCCCTGCATCCGAAGCTTCAACCGCCTTTATTAATCCCATTCGACTGGATAACAACCCGCAGTCCGTCTTTAGAGACACGCCGTCATCTCCACCATTACTCGTGTGCCTCAAACCGTTCCCTCCACCCTCACCGCAGTAATCTTCCGTCGCGTGTCCAAAAACAGCACCGCACCACAGCACGCAGAGGGCACACACCAGCAGCACACGGCCGGTCACCATCATCGCCATCACTCCTGTCACTTGCGTGCAGCCTTCAGCACAAACTAACTCCCCGTCAAAGCAGAGTGAAAGCAAAAGGAGAGAAAAGTCACGCAACCACGCACCGTCCCATCCAGCAATGAGAGTCACACACCACCACCACATCAATTAGGCGGGCGCGGCTCAACAACAATCAAAAAACAAATCAAAAGAGGGGCGCTCCTCGCCGTGCACCGTTCCTCACACTCCCACAGTCGCTGTTACTGTTATTCCCTCTCTCCTCAGTCCCTCACAGGCACGCCACGCTCACTCCAACACGCGCCCCTCACAGCACAGGCAGTCCGTCATGCGTTCCCGCTACGCCGCAACGTCGTGCCGCCCCTCCTCCCAAATCATGAGCGCAACGCCCAATGCGTACTGGCGCACGTGCTCCATGCGCCGCAACCACACACCAGTCAGGTTGGCCGTCATGCACTGCATCTTGTCGTCCTCCTTCTGCTTGGAGCAGACCCTCACATTCTCTCGTTCCACGGCCTGGGAACTGCGAGAGGCGGCCGAGTAGTGCCACGTGTCTGAAGATCCAAATGTACGGAAACAACGGCCACCCTCGCTCCCTCACAAATCTCCACTCCCTTCACTGTCCCGCACAAGGGCGGTGTCATGTGAAAGGGAAGCCCAACGCACATAAGAGGGCAGCAAAAAGCAGCGCCATCCACGTCGCACCACAAGTAACAGCTATGCGCCCGGCACACACACAAAAGCAGGGAAAAAGGGACGGGGCGTCACCAAATCCACGCTGCAGTCCTTTACTTCTCTCCGCACCGCGGATTGGCGTTGCGTCCCACACCCACAAATGAGGCACGGCGCACACAGTCCGCTCCCTCCATGTGCACTCAGCAGGCCGCCGCCCAGTCACCCTCCTGCCATCGCAAAGGGGAACAGAAACAATCGCCGTCGCGGACCATCGGTGCCACTGGCAGAAAAGAAGAAGTGGGGGCATTTCAACAGCGCAGACAGCAGAGGAACAGTCAACGGGACACGGAGACACACAGTGACAGCAGATACGGTAACTACAGAAACAAGCCGCAGGGATTTAAAAAAAAGAAAAGGATGGGAGTCCGGGATAACTCCTAAAAATAAAACGAAAAATTGATGGAAAAATTGATGCGGCAGGACTTTTATTTCATGTGCCACGCAGCACGAAGCGACCGTGTGTATATACACATTGCCCGCACCAGGAAAAGAAAAAGGGAAATTAAAATAAATAAAAGATATTGCACTGTTCCACCAGCCCACACAACATCCCTCACATTTCATTGCGGCATCCGGCCTGTTCGTCCTAACCTCGTTTCGTGCCGTCCGTGGGACGCGCAGCAATCAGGCCGGCACCGCGTGTGGGCAAAAACAAGAGCGGGAAACACGTCACTCATTACAGTGTGCAGCAGCCGAACATTACGCAAAGAAAAAACAACAGTACTTACTGCTCCAGCTGAACTGCATTAAAAAGACATTTAAAAGTAAAAACATTAAAGAAATAAAAGATAAGTGAAAAAGGATGGGCAGTGCGGCACGTATTCTCCGTGAGGCGTCGCAGATCCGCACTCCGTGGCTCAGAAAGCTGCCACCACCCAAATACAATCCCAGTAGAAGCAGCAACACACAAGACACGCACACACGCACGGTGTTGTTAGCGCCTAAATCACGCAGTGTCAATTCCACGTCGTTGGGAGAGGCGAGGCGGTCGTCGGGACTCACGCCGCTCCACACCCTGCGAGGTGACTTTTGTAATGGGAATTCGTGTCCAGGGCGTGGTGCTCATTCATTTCTCTTCGGTAATATTCCCAGCAATGTGCTCCCTGACGCTGTCAAATACTCGAATCTTCTCGGGTGGTGTCGGAGCCGCTTCACTCGTCGGAGCGGGGGACGCTGTCCTTGGGTGCACGCATCGCAGTGGAGTTCAGTGGGCGGCTGTACAGAAAGACGTCATTCACCGTCACAGGGGATTAGTGCCCACAGCACGCGCCAAAGCAAAACCTCAGGACCTCAGGTGGCTTCTGACCTGTCAACGGCACCTCTTCCTATTCCGCCAGCAACAGACCACCAATGTGCACAGAGGTCTTCTTGCCTTGCAGCATAAGTACCGCCTGGTACTCTTTCTTCGGCTCCTAACTGCCGTTCTGTGTTGTTGTCGTCCCTTCGAACACCGTCTCCCACTTCTTATTGTGGCTGCACGACAGTCCCATGGTACGATTGGACGCGGTGTTCGCCAACACCGCAGTCAGTGGAGGAGTGTTCCCAGTCGGAGCCTCTTCGATGGTCACCGATGCCACAAGTGTGAAGTGGTGGCTCAAGAATACATGACGCACGTTATCATCCTGAGTGTTCACGGACCATATTGCCCTGGACTCAAGTCCCGTGAATCGGAATCCATCGCAGTCCTTCACTGCATTCGTCACCGTTGCATGCAGGCAACGGTACTCGTCGATCCGCGTGCCATCACTGGCCGCATCGGACAAAACTGCCACCAGACCCGCCGTGGGCATTGACAAGCTGGAGAAGAAAGTGTCCTTTTGCGCCCAAGTGCTGAGGACAGACTTGATTGCACTCACTTCCTCCGTCAGGCGGGAAAGTGAAATGACACGGCCCTCACCGTTGCCCCTCCGTTGTAAAAGATGCAAATCCCCGTCCGAGTGCAGCAGGTTGCTGGTGAACAACCAATTCATACCATCCCTCATGGCAACCGGCCCAACACAAAACGAGCGGTTTTTGTCCGTTACCCAAAGATAGAGCGCTCTTTCCGTTTTATTCCCCGAGGCGTTCCCTCTCTGAGTGCACAGCATGACCTTCCTGCCCTCAATGGTCGCGGTGATGGGGGCATCCACACGCAGGCTTTCTTTCTGAGAGGCTCCCGATCCTGAGTTGACACACACGCCTAAAAGCTTCTCGATGGCCTCCGTCCACGCTGTCCCCATGTCACGCGACTCGTACACCCTCTGGCCATTCTCGCAGTCAACAATCATGGGAAGTGATCCCTCCCACTCGCTGACGCGGGGTCAAGACATTCCGCAGGGGACATGCCCTCAGAGAGCGCCCAGCTGCTGCCGTTGTCCGTCGAGTAAATGGTCATGGAGCAAACGTATTCTGCCTCATTCACCGCCATCAGTGGAAACAGGAAGGTGCCATTCTCCATCACAACACCTGAGCCACCGGAAGCAATGAACTCCGTCCGTTCACCTTCGTGAGAAGCAGAAGAGATCAGCTTCGAGAGTGTTTGGGGCCGCCCCATTCGATCCGTCCACTCCGCTTGCCACCCGTGGGATTCGTGACATCGCCCACAACCAGTTGCAGCTCCAAGCCGCCCTCTCTCCAACACCCACCTTCGTAGGACACATCCGAGCCTCCCGCAAGAAGAAACGCTCCGTTGCCCTTCGTGACTGTTGTGGAGTGGTGCACAACACCCAGACCCTCCTTTCCCTCCGCTGCACCAAGCACAGTTTGTGCCCTCCGTGTATCTTTTATTGGCCTCACCAACAAGAGTGGAACAATGCCACGCAGAGTCAATGCACCCCGCAACAACATCGGAAGAAAAGGGCTTAGTTAATTGACCACCTTGACATTCGGCATCCAAATGTGACCCTTGGCAAAAGCAGCCACCACTCCACCAGCACTGAAGAGAAAGGGTAAAACAAATGAATCCCTCGTCGTAACTGGAACAACCTCATCCCTCGGCTGCAACACCTTCGTCTGTGGAAAAATAGATCGACCCTCTCCGGCTCCTGAAACACTTCTTAAATCATTCTTGCCATCATTCTCCTTTGCAGGCGTGGCTCCACAAGTACCGCAGCGCAACGTCACAAAAAGAAAAAAGGCAACACCGCGGAAGTAAACACACGCCGGGACATGTTGGGCCTCTGCGGCTCACTCTCTCTTCCTTCCCTCCTCCTTCCGCTGGATCCGGTCACGCGGCGACGGTTGTGTGTGCGGGGTGCCTTGACTGCCGCAACACGTGAGAGCATATAAATATGTGTGTGTGTGTGGGCGGTGTGTGTGCTGTTGGTCCTTCAGTGCCTTCGAATTTCATAGTATCGATTAGCGTTTGTTTTCCTTCCCAGTTTGAGTGTGTTTGCGCGCAAGAAATCAAATTAAAATTTAAAAAGCACCAAAACAGAGCGTGGCAGAAGAAAGGGTGGCGCCGCCATCCACAGTGTAACACACCAGCGTCGTCGTAACCGCTACAGTAATTACTCTCCCCGTCAACAACGGCTCAAGCACTGTGAGTCCGCAGGCAGAAGCAGAGACACTGACGTTTGCGCACGGGCCAATAAGCCCTCCGGCAAACAGCACCAACCAACAGACAGCCAGCAGAAAGTAAGTGCAAGAAAAATTCCAAGTGCTGCGGGATCCTTGCAAGCAGCGCTCCCTCACCGCAGGGCCTCTATTAAAGCGTTCCTCGCCGCAACATCCCCACAACCCGCTCGGCGTGTCGGTGGATTTTCCCGTTCACCGGAACAAAAACAGCGGGATGCTCCGGCAGGGATCGAAGACACACAGAGCGCACCGTCGACGCGACCAACGGGCGCAGGCTCTCGTGAAGTGATATCCCACAACCGTGATCCCTCCATTGACTCTCCTGGAAGTGAAGGAGGCATGAAATGTCCTCTTCTCTACAGTAGTCCCGAAACGCAAAAAAATACCGCAGGACATCCCGCGCAGCCACGGCCTCCCCAGCAGCCCGACAGTCCACGCCGTCGCACCGCTCCTCAAGAGGTCGCCAGGCCCGGTAGGGCAAGCAAAAGGAGAGCAGCAATTCGGTCAGGGCGTTCAGCAAAATAAGGCACAGCAGTCGGGTAGGCGTGGCCCATCCACGTCCTCCCCCTCAACCGACCCACCACACATTCGGATCACAAAACCGAAAAGAGTCGTGGTGCCTAACGAAATAATACGGACACTAACGCCTCGTGCTCTCCTCAATGTAGCTTCACGGCACACCCGAGGCATCACAAGAAGAGACAAATACTTACATTCCGTCG